CGCAGCGAGAGCGTCGTTTATGCTCTTGTACTGCCCGGGCTCCAGCCTGGCGCTCGCTTCCGCGGCGGCGGCCGCCGCCTTCGCCGCCGCCTTAGCCGCCGAAGCGGCAGCCTGGGCGGCAGCCTTGACCTTGCCCCCGCCGCCGCCGCCGCCGCTGCCGCCGCCGGCCCCAACGGCGCCGCTGGAAACACCGCCAGCAGACTGAGCAGCAGCAGCGGCAGCAGCATCGCTAGCGGCGGCAGCAGAGGTAGCAGTAGCGGGGGCCGTACTACTTGCTGACGAGGTTGCTGCTGCGGAGCCGTCCGCGGTAGTAGTGGTGGCAGCGGCGGCGGAGGTAGCGGTTTGATTTTGGGCTTGCACGGCCGCGGCGGCGGCGGCGAGCTTCTGCGCCAGGGCGGCAGCGTCCCGAACGCCTGCTTCTACCGGGAGCACCTTGAGAAAAAAAAAGCGTGAAAAAGTAGAAAACGCGTGTAGAGCAACGCAGAGAAAAAAAAATCCGGAAAATCAGGTGGAAGAGCAAACAGAGAAAAACGGCGTAAAAACGAAGTATATAGAGGTGTGTAGAGGAATACAGAGAAAAAAAAACGTCGGGGACAAGTTAAACGTAATCAAGTACTGACGACGAGGGCGGGGGGATTCGCCTTAAACAAATAGCACTGCTGCCATCATGCAGCATGGTGAGCCTGAGGTTTGCTGGAGCAGAAACAGTTTGAGGGACGGTTTCAAGTGACCCGACCGAAACATAACGAGGAAAACATTGCGTCGTCGGAAAATCGACGTGGGTTGGTAAAATCTAGGCTCGCCCGAATAGGAACGTGCTCCATCTGCAAATCCAACCCAACGACAAGGCTATCAAAAGTATCAGCACCATCGCGTGTGGCTACGTGGAAATTGTTCGGAAAATCCCGCCGAGTCAGCATGAAGCCCCGTGACCATATCTCGTACGTTAAGCAAACAGCGCCATCAACGAGCAAAGTCCATCAACCTATGGAGTGCCTGAACACTTGCTCTATCTACGTTGGCTCTCACCCTCAGCTTGAAGGTTTTGTGACGAGCCCCTTCCAACCATGGTTGGCACACCTCCGCTGCACACATCCTGTCCGGTGTCGCCTTCAGATACCGCATCACCTGTGGCAGGAGATGGATAGAGAGAAAGAGAGAGAGAGAGAGAGAGAGAGAGAGAGAGAGAGAGAGAGAGAGAGAAACAGAAACGAACAAAAACGAGGGGAAGAAGGCGTGAAACAACGCTGTAGATGGAGAACGCCACCTTGTTCTTGCCGTCGCCAACAACCACGGGCTCCCTGCCCGAAACACGTACCACACAACGCAACCCATCGTCAGCACTTTATCCTCACGACGTGCTAGTGTAGCGATGAGCGATCACGTCGGGCGAACCCACACGCCGTCTCGGGTGCGCCTCGCCAGCCGCGAGCCCCGAAAACAGCGCTGAGAAGGCGCACATCACGCCACTACCTTTGAGAAACTTGGAGTTCAAGCACTCCAGGCTCCACCAAACGAGGAAATTAGAACGAGCTTTACCGTAGGAGCAACAAGTGGGTGCTCAGCCAAGAAACCTGCAAGAAAAGCAAAACTAAACAGTCCATTTTGCGATGCCCTCTACAAGCAACAAGAAACGATACCCCGCCAAAACCATACTCTTAAAAGTTGTGGCGCCCTCTGTAGCCTGGACAAGGCTATGCTGCGAGAAAAGCTCGTCCGGTCCCCTGCGTGGGGCAGCAAGGCGGCGGCGGCGGCGGGGGGGGGGGGGGGGGG